AAGAAGAAGAAGAAGAAGAAGATGAATAAGAAGAAGAAGAAGAAGAAGAAGAAGAAGAAGAAGAAGAAGAAGAAGAAGAAGAAGAAGAAGGAGGAGGAGGAGGAGGAGGAGGAGAGAGAGAGAGAGAGAGCTGACGAGGGAGGGAGGAGAGGTCCTCCGGCTCCCAGGTACCTCAGGCGGCAATGGCCCCCGTGCTGGCTCAGTCGCCCTGCTGCTGCTCCGCTTGCTGCTGCGCTGCCGCTGCTGCTCCTTGCTCGCTCCTGCGCTAAACTTAGCGCATCAAACAGCGCTCTGGCGCTGACCATACCGTACCGGTATAGTGCCGGTAGGTCGATGCCTCCAAGTGAGGCTGTACCGGTACTTTATACCGGTGGGGCAGAGGCCGGCCTCAATGCTGCGAGGCCTGGCCATGCCCTGAACCATCCAGATGGACGGCTCAGCCCCAACCGGCGGGCGGCAGCCTCAAGAGCGCCGCCAGGCCTAAACGATAATGCCGTTTGGGCCTGCCCGTTGGGTACTGGTCCAAGATCAGGCCCTGAGGGCCTGTACTATCCCAAGGTCGGGCCTTTAGGCCCTGATGTGTCCCTCCGACCCTACGTCGGGTCCGGTAGGGCCCGTGTGCGTCGAAGATGTAACACACTAGAGGTGTCTCAGATACCATCCTGGGCTTTTAGCAGGACCTAGTATTGTCTCAGTAATAATTATTGGTTGCTGCAGTGAGGAGTGGCAGGCGCCTGCTCAGCTTGTTTTCTTGAGGTAAATTTGGAGAGCCACCCTTTAAAATCCCTTTTTGGAGCTTCAAAGTTTAATGTTTAGAAAGTGTTTTTGTAGAATGGGACGCTGGGCGGCCTGGGCCCGGGGCCAATTCCCACTTACCCAAATTCTTGATTTCTGACCGTTGATTCTGAAGATCAACGACCAGAAATGACGAATTCAGCCAAGTGGGACTTGGCCCCCGGTTTCCAGCAGCCTAGAGGAGGTATTTTGAATAGGTGGTTGGATTTCGAGCTCTACTCATAAGCGAAACTGGCTGAGGCTGCCAGCATAACTTCGGGTGGAATTGTGAGGTCCCAGACCTCGGTTCATTGTTTTTATGCAATGTACCATTACACTTTCCAAAAAAAAAAAAAAAAAAAAGAAACTAAAATCATAAATTTGGATGCTTCACGGACCAAGTGCATTTGGGCGAGGCCAATGTTTTGAATGTACAGGGTGGAAGAAAGGCGCCCAGATGCATACGGAGTGCTGTGAGTGCAGCGAGGCCCTATTGCTGGGGTGCAAGTGGAGCAACACACGTGGGGTGAGGTCTGACTCGTATACAGTTCCCAGGGGTCTGGTCCCACCTACAGCGTTGAGTTTTCTCAACACTGAGCTTTCTATCACGTGTGGCATGGTGGGACGCAGCTCTGCGGTTGATGTATTGCGATCTAATGGTACCGAAATACAGGAGAATAACCTATTAGATTTTGTCATTTTGTAGATTTTTTTTATTTTTATTTTTTTAAGTTCTTTTTTTTTAAAGAACAGCTTTTGTATATAAAACCGGGAAACGGGCCGGGCGTCCCTCGCATGAATTCCGTAGCCAATCCAGGCTGGGAGAGGCACTTCCGGCCAGTCCCATCCCCAACCACGGACCTCCCACAGTGAAGACGCCTGTCTTCAGCCCAGCCCGTGCAAATCTCTAATTGCAAACCCTAGTCTATGTTAATACTAACGTAGAATATAATCCTATTCCAATGCGATTAATTCTATATTATCAAAAACAATCATACAAATTCCTGACCTATCCCCTGATACAATTATCATATCCCACTCTCTCCTATCCAACAGCCAAAGGGAATTTCAGTCAAAAGTCGACAAAGGGAAACAAGCTTACTGAGGGCGGTAGTAGAAGAAGATTGTCCAAAATGACATGCTTGATGGGGGGCAACATCAAGCCTGTCATTCTGGATGATCTCCAGGATATCACCCGATTATAGATACAATTACATTAGTCATCCCTAAAGTTCTAAACCCAATTTCGTGTAGAGCAAATTTCCAATAAGCCGAATGTCCCACTCTTCTCCAATCCAACAGCCAAAGGGAATCTCAGTCAAAAGACGACAAAGGGAAACAAGACTACGGTGGGCTGTAACAGAAGAAGATTGTCCAATATGACATGCTTGATGGGCTTGATGGAGAGCTGGTTAACGGAGGCCTCAATTTTCAGAGGGGTCCCTGTTAACCGCTTGTGGGGGGCAACATCAAGCCTGTCATTCTGGATGATCTCCAAGATATCATCCGATTATAGATACAACTTCAGTAATCATCCCTAACCCTAAGCCAAACACCATCGAAGTGATGGGCAGCAAATCACCAATCCCTTCTTGCTCCACAGCTATAACACCATGAACAATTTCCTTTGACGTGAAATCCGTTTTGTAGTATGCTTTGGCCCTTTTGGTTTGGGCGGGAAACCATTTTCCATTGAGAAAACTACCCTGCCGAGAGTAGGGTACATTTCTCAACTGCAGTGCCTTTCCTTTTTTTTGGTTTTTCAGACATCATTGCATCCTGAAATGGAGGAACTCTGACAGCTGTGTGTTTGGCCAGGCGTCAAACTCGTTTCCTTCTTTGGGCAATGAATGCATTTGGCCATCCACTTTGTCCCTGTCCATTTTACAAATGGTGACCTCCTGTCCCCTCACCATGGGCAGTATCCCTTTTTCACGGAGGCATTCACTCCGGACCGACTGTTCCAGACATGTTTCATTTCTCCGAGTTACGTTATAAAAAATAAGGAGAAAAGCTGTTTCAACTTTCTAGCGTGTTTTTTCCGTTTTTTAAATTCTTGTTTCGAATCTATTAAACCACTAGTACCTTTGTCGGTTCGAAAATACTCGGCCTCCGACCTTTCAGGAGGCCGAAACGATCAGATTGATCAACGTCGGGCTCGGCCTCCTGGAAGTTCGGGAGCGAAAATAGGCTCGCGTCACACCGTTAAGTTTTCTGAACTCAACAACGGTAGGTGGGACCTGACCCCAGACAAAAGGGATCCGTGCACGTAGTACCTCAGCAGTTATTTTTTTTCCTTTGTCTTTTTGTTCCTCAGCGGTTATTAGTCTCGTGGGTACGGACTCGTTTTCTCTTGTTGGCTATTTCTGGCCTCGCTCCACCACTCACTAAATGGGCAAATTCAAAATTGACAATTAATGTTTCCCTAGAAAGCGGAAAGATGCACAGCTTTTTTTTTGTTTCTATTTCATTTTCTTCTTTTGTTGTCTTTTTTTTTTTTTTTTTTTTTTT